CCTCTTGATCATCAAACTTTAGATGCAGAGACGACTATAAATTTTCTCAACACGTAGTAAGCTTATCATTGCATAATCTATTACATCATGAAAATGATAAAGTTTTTAAAGTCACTTAATAAAGTGTCACTTAATAAAGAGCGATAACGTTATCAATCGATTTTAATATGAGTCGTCTTTTACTGTATCTCATGCATTGATTTTATCAATGCATTGCCGTTGACAATAAAGCTTAAAACTTGTTTTTTTTTTGCACTTGACACCGAACACCGCATAAACAACGCGCATTCTTCGCGATCCTCCACTCGAAACTTCGTGGAACGTGGAACTTGATGAAAGAGATTACGCCACCTTGACGTGCGTTCCAGTTTCTAGTTCGTTAAGCGATCGCTTTTATTCAGCGTCCGTCTCGTGGGCGGCGATACTTATTCTTTTCCAACATTTGCAAACGCACCGTTAGATCGATTAGATAGAGTAGAAGCAATTTCGTGAATAAAATATGAAAATTATGCGCAATTCACGGCACGAGGAAGCACTCGTAGCTTCTGCTAAGCGGCGATCGTACTTTGTGTACATTTTCCTTTGTCCGCAATATTGTTCACAAGAATATCATTGCGCGCTTATTAGATAAGGCAGAGATATCATTTCATAAATGAATACTAAATAATGCGAATCGTATCTGGGAGATTTGGCCATAATTCTAACTTGTCACAATCACGCGCTGTTAAAATAATAAAGACTGCTTCTACTGTAACTATATTTTTATTGCAATCTTATTACTAAATATTTATTTATGAAATGAATTATTATTTATTATAAGCTGAACGTAAAAATAGCAGAGTATGCTTTGAAATAAACAAATTTATTTTGAACTACAGTCTTTTCTTTTACAGGCGATGCCCGATTTATTTACTATTAGGAGATGACGTCTATTATCGCATGCGTACTTAGATGTTAATCGTAAATTTTTATCAACAAGATATAATTTCGATTAAATATAACACACGTATTCGATTGTTTTTCAGTTGTTTTTTTAAATAAAGACTCATAGAAAAACAATTTATCAAAGAAAATTTATTATTTCGATTTATTTTAAAGGATAAAATTACTTTCATCTTTACTGTACCACATATATTTTAGTCCACTCTGAAAATTCTCTCAATTGGTCAAAATTTCAATATTTACATAATAATTTATTTTAAAAATATATAATTTAATCTCTACATGGAAAGAACTGTTCTGCTGAAGTATCTAAGACTAGATACAGATCTGAAAATAATTTTAAACTAAACTGGTTATTAGAATATCAAAACTTTTTGCAGCATTGGTCATGTTTGAGTCCCGGAGTTTCCTATATAATTATTTTAATGGTCCAATAAAATTATTTTTAGATCTGTATTTAGCTAAATTTTTAGATACTTTAGAAAAATCGTTTCTTCGTAGTATCATAATTAGGAGAAAGTACCATCAGATTTCCTATATAATTAAATCATGCACACGTTCTATATTTCAATCTATATTTAATTAAACGAATTATCTAAATATTTTACTAAATAGTATTAAAATGAAAATAGACAATATTGTATTTATTTCATTATAGATAAACGGAACAGATTTAAATTTTAAATAAAAGTCAAGTTATCTTCTAATTCATTGAAAAAAATAGAACAATAAAAATAATATTTTGAAAATTAGGCCTAGTTTTGCTACACATAATACAAGCAATATTTAAAATCCTGTGTAAAATGTCAATAAAAAGATATATTTATGATTAAAGACAAAACGAAGAATCAACAAGTGGCAAGCGATACCACAGCTTTATCGAAAAAATTATTGACGAAATCACTTTCGTCATTATTCTGCGAAACTCACTTCGCCGACAACAAAGGTTTATTCGGAATAGACGTGCAATATTTTGCAATGTAAATGTATTTGACAATGTGTTTGTCTGTAAAAAAAAGATTGAACTGGTGTTACCATATTACTGAAGAATTCATATACTGGAAAAAACGTATAATTATTTTGTTGATATGCGACTCTAACAAACACTTTTTTACTTTTTCACTTAAAAAATTGTGTTTTCTAATCAAAATTTGGTTATTCTGATCAAATTTCGATAAGAACAATACAACCAATTTAACAAAATTTGGTTAGAATAACTAAATTTTAATTTTAATTTAATGAAAAAATAAGAAAGTTTTTGTTACAGTTACATATGAACAAAAAAAAGTTATACGTACCAAAATATTTTTCTCAATGTAAACTTTTCGGCGCGACGAAAATCAGAATACATTTCCGAATTAATCGCTATTAAACGGTACAAAATGAAATATATCGCAATGTATTAGATTTGCGTGAGACACGACCGTTGAGCACGTAAGCATCTCGTTCTAGATACGCATTAAGAACGTAAATTAAGGGGATCCATGATTATCATCAGGAATAATCACCATTCAACGCTGATTCCCATTTCCGGATTATCTAATATGAGAAAGTAACTATCGTCTCTCGGATAAATCGCGCGAATCGTGTGCCTAATTTCTCCCATTTTCTGCTGAATGTCGGACGTCTTCAGTTTCACTTCGCTTCACCGCGAGAACGCGATGATGCGTTTTACGAGAAGACTGGAAATGAGTATGTGGCGTCCGAGCGAGAGAGACTTTACTGTCGAACGTCGAACGCTTTAGAAAGCGCCGCGCAGTTTCGGAACGTTTTACTTTGCGCAGCCTTCACAATAATAATTCCTCCTAATTTCGTAGTTAGTACGGTTATTGAAGGCGAATACAATGTTCATTTATATCTGAGTAAATCATCTGAGCTTACACAACAACACTCGAGTGGGTTTACTGGGTTTGTGCCTATTAAATATTTCTTATTGTCAATGACATAAAAGTTGATTGTCGCCACGTACGTTAAGATCAAAATTAATTCTGTAATAATTCTATATAAATTCAAATTTGTTTATTTATCTTTTCGCGTCGTCTTATAAAAATACGATTCATAATATAATTATTATATATGTAAAAAATCAGAATATGAAAAATATTATTTCTAAAATTTTATCTTTTAATCTAATTCAAATTAAAAAAATATTTGTTATAATTATAATCAAAGTATAATGAAATAAATTTAATGTAGATAATTTTCATATGACACAAATTTTGTTTATTGTAATCTGCGTGTAATGGTGTTACTTTCCCAAGCATTGCCGGATGATAAAACGAAATGTAAATAAACAGATTTCATTTCGTAAACTGTTGCTCGTGTTTCATCGACTTATGAGTAAGCAGCATAAAATAAGAAGATTGTTTGTCACAACTATCGTGACAGATTCAATATCGTCCGCTAGAGTCTTGATTTGATTGACAAGTGTTTCGAGGTGCTTGCAACGGCAACAATTAAATCAGTATACTCGTCTGAACGGCCAATGTTCGGTTTAGGACATGCGACAACCGTTACATATGTCGTACAACGGTTTAACGAGGATTCTCATAGTTTATTAGCGATATGCGTGGAGTGAGTGGAAGCGAGACGCAAAATCGAGGACAAACAAGTCACAGAGTATACAGGATGTCACGTAATTTTCTCGCGTTTCCTTTCAGTCACGTTTCTTGATTAATTTGAAGACGATTATTTCACACAACTAACACTCAATGAATATCTTCGTGACTGCAAGTTATTAAAATTCTCTATCAATTTATTCAAAAACTAATGAATAATGCAGCATTATGAATCATTTGTGTTTATAACATTTTTTTAATTTATGAAAAGCCTCTAGTTTTGTCATATCTATAAATTACAAATTTATATTGACAATTAAAAATTATATTGGATTTGACAATCATATTACAGAAAAATAGAATTCCAGAATTCAGAATAAAAAACAATGATTGGTAAAAGTAGACACCCAGTATACACGAAGTAAAACGTGTTTGAAATATAGAATATATTTAGATATATTATAATATATTTAGAATTAAATAATATATTTAGAATTAAAATTCCACTAGATATAATATATAAATATATATATAAACGTTATATATAAACGTTTTATAAGTACAAACATCGTCTCTGTCGAACGACACTATCATTCACATTCAATAACATTCTATCTGGCGCAGTGTATTAAAGAAAAAGTAAAATAATCAAATTATTTTACGCGAAAAGAAAGTTGCCGGTACCAGGATACCATTGAACTATATCGATCATTGCATCTTTTCCCGTGGTGCAACGTGATATTTAATGAAAATTTAGTTTAATGAATGCCTACTCTTACATAGAGGCAAGAAGTTAAATGAGAGCAAAAAATTTGTAAGTATCTCTTTACGGTAAATTACTTGCGCTATTGTATTTTGTTAGCTTATACTAATTTGGTTTATGGAACATCTGTTTCATTTGACACATGTTTTTCTTACAAAGTTAAATTGTTAAAAATAACAAAGAGATAAAATGCAATTTTAATATCAGCTTTATTCAATATTGTATTATTGAGGCTAATTTTATTACTAAATTATTAAATCGATTAGTAAATATAACATAATAATGATATATAATATAAAAAAATGGCATTATGTCTGTAGTATATAATTTTTACACATTAAAAACTAAATATCTATAACTAAATATCTATAGATGAATATTATTTATAAATATTGTAGTTGTTCATTCACTATCATAATCTTTTGCTTAATGAGATATTTATATTTACAGACATTTTCATAAATATCAATTCAAACTTTATTCACTTATTAAAAAAAAAAAAAAAAAGTTACATGCTACATTTTAAATAAAAAGATAGCTTTATAAACATTTGAAACACTTCTCTCATTTAAACGATTTCAATAAACAAATATTGTAATAAAATTTTACCGCAAAAAAACCAAGTCTTTTCGCAGTAAATATAATGTCAATTACTGTTCATAATTGCGACGTCATAGTTTGAATGAGTTCCTGATACTTTTTGCATTTCTAAAAAGAGAATTGCATTGAAGACTCACCTTCGGCTTATCCCGCTTTCTCCTAATGATGAGGCCGTCATTCTCTATGTAATCTGGCACGTCCTTTCGATTACTGAAGTTAAATACCATCGTGTTGTTCTGCTGATTCCATGGTTTCGTGTCCCAGAGACCGCCGCCGCCACCTCCAGCACTCGTCTTCTTTGTGGGTTGTATCTCATCGGCGCTCTTCAGACTCACCACCACTTTGGTGGGCTGTTCGATGCTCTTGACTCGATTGATCAGGTTCTTCTCGAGCTCACGATTGCTCAGATTCTGCTGTGGATGTTGTGCCTTCGTAGAGACAAGCGGCCGTATGATGCCGATCTGCTTCTGCGGCGGCGAGAACTCGCTTTTCTGCTGGCATCGTATCGTCTTCGTCTCGTTATTGCTCTGCGAATATGTCGCCGACGGTGATGTCGTCGTCGCTGTTGTCGCGATTTTGATTAAGCCCAAGCTACAAATGGCGCCGATGGGTTTATTCTCCGGTACAATCAGCTTCTCCTCGATATCCTTGTCGTCGCTCTCCTCCTCAGGCTCGAGCCTTTCTTGCAATCTCGACGATACTTTGGAGGTCATAATATTGGAAGGTGCACCTACCTTGTTCTTACACTCCATCTTTACGCAATAATCTTCTTCTGGCATCGGTTCATCCGTCGATTTTTGACCATTCTGCTTCGTACCCGGTAAATAACTCTTATCGCTCGTAGACTTGTCGCCAAAATTAAATTGCATTATCGTTCCTGCCTTGCCGATGTTGTCCAAGGCGATCTTGGAGATGGTTTTCGGACCATCAACAATCTCCTCGTCGACGTTCTTTTCTCCATCATTGAACGCGACGCGGCTCGATTTCGCATCCTCTTTCCATTCCACATTGATGGACGATTCTGGAAAGTGTGCTTGCTTGGGATTTTCGGCATTCGTTCTAGGAATCTCTTCGATTTGCGGACGAATAACTTTGGATTCCGTCTCCGTCTTCAAGGGTTCTCCTTTGGGGCTCGGTGATAGTGGCGGTTTGTGAAGTGGACTTGGGATTTGAATGCGGATCAAGTCCTTAATGGGAGAGGAGGGACTCTGCATGCCCTGCCTGATATCCTTGACCGGTGACGGCGAGCTTGGAAGTCTAGGCGACAAGATCCTCGGCGAGAGCACTGGCGTGACAGGCGGTGATTTGATAGTGATTTCCAGAGTAGCGGACTTCGATTTGCACGTCTGTGGCGGTTCCGGGCTGTTCGCTGGAGAGAATTTCAGCTTGTAGCTCGAGGGTTCCGGCGACGGAGAAGGCGAATGTGACTTTTCGATCTGCTGAAACTTGCTCACTACCGAGGATACCGATTGCACGATTGATTCCGTGATGACGCCGTCTATATGATACTCTTCCTTGCCATCCTGCGTCTCGATCAGTTCGGCGGTCGGCTTGTGTGGTAGCACGATTTTTTTCGGGGAACCGATGCCACCGGCGGAACGAGCACCGCCATTGATGAAAGGTTTCGGCTGCAATGGTGGCTTCTGTGCCAGCTTCTTCTGCGTCTGCGTTTGTGCTTTGAACGTGTCGTTGATGGTCTTGAAGGTAGCGATCTTCGCGGCGACTTCGCCCTTGGGCTTCAGCTTCCTCGCGGAGCTCTCGAAGATTCTCATCGTGGTCTTGACTAGATCCGGTGGCGGTCGCTCCGTTTCCGCTAGTACCGGTTTGATCCTCTTGGGCTTGTTGATTGGTTTGGGTCGATCAAGCTCACACAGGCGGCTCTCGATCTTCACGGACGTACGATCGACGAGAATGATGTGGTCGTTAACCGGTTCTTGGCGAACGCCGTTCGTCACCGGTCGAGTAACCAGAACCTGACGTGCAGTCGTCGCCTCGTCAACCGTCACGCTATTGTATCTCATCAATGTCTCGACGCTGCGTGCCCGCTTCATCGAGTCGTTGCCCCGAGAGGCGTTCCGGTACCTGTCGGTCTTGGAAGCAACGGCGGCGACGGCGGCGGCGGCAACGACGCCACCGCCGCTTCGCTTCACATACTTCCTGCTGGTAGTGATCTTTTCGTGACTGGACTCCTCATCGTCTCGGTCCAACAAATCCTCGAGGCTGGCTGCGCGCCGAAACCGTTGCACCGACGCGCGGCTCTTGTTCGTCTCGCGCAGAGTGAGGTTAAGGTATTTGCACTTAAGCTTGTTGACGATCCCTGGTCCATATTGCAGCTCCTCGGAACTGTCGCTCTCCGCTTCCTCGCTGGAAGCACGACTTGGTCGTGCGACGCGCAAACTTTTCAGTACTCTAAAGTTTCCACCATGGAACATTTCCTTATCGCATCTTCCGGTCAAGACGGCGCGAATCTCATCGTCGTGCTGCGATGACTCGTTGCTCTCGTTTCCTTCGTTCATCCTCGCTCTCAACGGTTTGCCATCCGCCGTTCTCGAGATCGCGTCCTCGTTTTCCTCGCCGATGTTGTAATCCGACAATTTTCGTTCCGAAGAAATTTCCACGAATTTAGCCGGCGCGCCGTTCACATCCTCCGCGTCCGAGCAGAGCGACAAATCCACCTCGAGACGCATGTTGTACGCGACTGGTAATGGTGAGGCAAAGTCGACGGCCGTTGCCGCCACCGTTGCTCCGCCGGCGACAGCGACGGCGTTGGTGGCGCCACCGGACGGCGGCCTTCTCGCGGGATAAGAGGAGGGGGAGGAAAGCAATGCACCACTATTACCACCAGGAGCCGTGGTATCCTCGTTGGTCGCTGTTAAGCGCGCCGTACGAAGCGCGTGATGCTCCGTCGCTGTGCTCTGTTCGGTGGCGACGACGCCGCCGACGCTTCCGTCGGGCGTCGTCGCGTTCGCCGACGTTACCGACGATGACGACGATGTGCCTATCACTGCGCTACACAACTTGACGCTCGCGCCGTTGTTCGCGAGGACCTTGCTCTGCTGACGGCGACGCTGTATCAGATCGCGCTTCCATTGCGGTACGTTGCTGGTGCCGCTCGCCTCGTTGCCGGCGCTCGTCGTTGCGTTGCTGCCGGCGGTAGCCATGTTGAACGCGCGCCGTCAGTATTCAAGTAACTCTCTCTTACTCTTTCTGTCGCTCGATCCTTCTTTCACCACCGGGCTTTCTCTCTTTCTCTTGTTCTCGCGACACCACAGAACACCGCGACGTACGCGCGTACGCACATACGTACGTTAACAACGTACGTCGTTCTTACGCGGTTTTCTTGACTGCGTGAAAGCTCCACCTCTTCATACTCTCGTACTTGAAGATTCTTACCGGCGACGAGTCGTACCGGCCACACACGATCGCCGGAAAATCGATGACTGCCGACATACGGTCGAGCACGCGCGCGAACACACGGTTTTGTGAGAGAGAGACGAAAGTACGTTCGTTGCTTCGTCCGTGTCTCTGGTCGTATCGTCCGAGCGGATGTTTACATGCTTTCGCGGATTCTATTGATCCAGATCCAGTATGCCTTTCGATTGATCGCAGTAAGAAAGGGCTCTCCGGAGCGTTGGACACTACGCGAAAATCAATCGCCTTTCCATTCTCTTTTCTCTCTCTCTCTCTCTCTCTCTCTCTCTCTCTCTCTCTCTCTCTGCCTGTCGCTATCAGTTGCTATCCCGCTCCCACCGAAAGAGCGGCACTTTTCTGTTTCGCAAAAGCGTTTAACCACGCGCGTCCACCTGCCGCTCTCGCGATCGTTCTTGATCGGTCTGCACCGCGTTGCCGCGAGCGATTGAAATGATTGAACGGGTGGAAAAACCACACCTGTGTCACGGAACAAATCAGAACACGCGTCGCACACGCGCACGGCACTGCGACGACAATCGACGATAATCGCGAATCCCGTCGTCACGTCGTCGCTGCAAGCGCGCGGCCAAGTGTCACGACTGTCACGAGAACTGCGATAAATACGCGCCGTCGCTCTAACGCGCGATGACTGGCATCACAGTCGATGTCCGCCTCCTGGACTCCTGGAGTGCGGCGGGCCACGGCGGTCGACGGCTGGCGGCACCGCGAGAGCCGGCCCACTCGACGAAATCGAAAGTATCTCTCGAAGCCTGCCGTTCTCGCGTGCGCGAGCGCGCGCGTGTGCGTGCGTCCGCTTAGCCCGTATTATATACGTATACCGAAACCCCTCGGCCGAGTCGAAAGGCGAAACGCGCCTGTCTCGCAGCTCGCAGTCTCGCGCTTCCATCTGCTACCCCGCGATTCCCGCCGCCGTCGATCGTCGACGATCGCCTCTCTCTCGCGCCGGCCAATAGCCTGCCTTTCTCTCTCTTTTCACTTCGATGCGTGTTTGTGTTGTATGCATGCGCAAGGCATTGTGTGCGCTGGCGTTGGAACGCGCGCGCCAAATCACCCCTCCTTTCTTACACTGCCTTTTTCCCTCTTTCCTCTCTTTCTCACTTTCTCTCTCTCTTTCTCTCTCTCTCGCTCGCTCGTTTGCTTCCTCTTTGACGCTCTCCCGCCGCGTTCGACTCTACTCCGTAATGTCACTCTAACAAGCGGCGAAGGCGCTTGCATCGGGCACATGACGCGCGAACACAAAAAATCGAAGCGTTAGGGTTGGCAACGGCGGGGACACGCCGCGGTTTTAAGGGCTGATCCGTTATTATCCCACGGTGTTGTATGCGAAATGGATCGTCCTCGATAATCCGCAAACACTATGTTTACGTTAAATGAGATGTTCAGGGTATTAGCAAATGATCGATTGATAAAGGCTTTTGATACGATTTATCTTGTTTGACAAATGAGTGTATCATTTCTGTTATGTCAGATTCTCTCTATCATCGATTGTTGTTTAAATTAGGGCGTGATAATAACTTTATTAATTATTATTAAATTGTTAAAAGTTATCATGCGCGAATATTTGGATATACGTCCTATAATATATGCGTGCAAATTTCTGTATTAAGATACTTAATACTTATGTGCGATGACCCGGAAATCCGCGATATGCGGAACTGTCTCATAACGAGCAAGTCATTGTAGTTTGAACCTGTACTCTAAGAAGTATGAGTATGAATTTAACACTGTGGGTGTTAAGGATTATGTGTATAGTCTCTGTGAAAAGTAACTGAAAACTTAGAAATTCATACGTTCCGTACAAAAATAAATGTTATATACATACAGTTCAGTAAGAGAGAGAGAGAGAGAGAGAGAGAGAGAGAGAGAGAGAGAGAGAGAGAGAGAGAGAGAAGGGTTGCATTTCTCAGCACTAGTTACACTTTTAAAAAAACCTTCGTTAAGAGAACCGTCATGGTTGTTTAGGTTGTTTCTTCGTTTTCTTGCATGACGAAGGACTTCGTAATGACGCGACCGCATTATTTCTCGCAAGTTTCTCGAGAGATCTAGGATATGCTACCTTGCATATGCGCAAACATGAC